TCAAGCAACTATCACTTGTGATAATGGCCAATTTGATACATATCCTTTTTCAAGTGGTAAATTGCTATTATTCCTACTTTACTGTTGAGGAGCCATAAGCACTTCAAAAAAAAATCTGTAGCTGGGCTGTGACTTGAACTCATGTCTCTTAGTTTCAGATTTGAACGCAAGCTCACACAAAACTTATAAGCATAGTGGTATATCTGGATTGGAAGGAACAAGGTAGAGCAAGGTGAGGTGGTTTGATTACATGCACCTGAAAAGTGAGGCATCTTATCAGCTAAATAAGTTTGGATGGAAAACAGGGGTAGAGGAACCAATAATCAGAAGTGATGTATAATGTTTTAAAATAATGCACAAGTATATTTTATAGGATCTGTAATACCACCAAGAACACAGAAAGATGTTGTCATTGGATCACATTAGAAAACAGGTACGTAATCAGCAGTGCAAAGTGATGTTTCTGATGATGAATCAACATTACTTCAGACCACAGGTCGGTGGTGGTGGTGGTGAAATGTTTAAATGCTCCCTTACAAAAAATAAACGTAGGTATATAAAACTAACACATCACCGCTATTTTACTATGTTGCACAGCAGAAAAAAAGGCTACCGAACAAGAGAAGATCTACAGCAGTAGAACATTTCTTGACTTCCTGGCTTGTTTATGAGCTCATGAAGGAATGTCAGGGCTGCTTTCAACATTCTTCTGATAACAAAGCCCAACTGTTATGTCTGTGTGTCAAAGTATTTCATTGCACAGGAAGAGCAGAAACGATCCACTGCTCTCTTATCACACAGAGATTTCTGCACTTGACACATTCAGAACGTGCTAGTCCACCTGAATGGCTCTGTTGTGCTGGTGCCCTCAGAATACCTCAAGGGATGAGCCAAGGAATCTCACTCTGAACTTTCTCACAGTCAGAGAAAGGAAAAGGAAAGTAACTGCTCAGTGGAGAGGTTCATTATGATATTATAAGGTTTATTTCACTTGTAGAAAGTGCAAATGCAAGCTAGAAGAGAAGGTAGAGCAACTTGAGGCCCACCAAGCCACACAGAGCTATAGGATAAGACGCAGAGTTTCTCAATAGAGCTGAGAGGACTGTGCTGGAACGGCAGCCAAGGTGGGGTGCCCCTAGGGAGCAGGAAGATCGCTCATTGCAAGAGACAAACCCCTGGAGGAATGTGACGCACAGAAGTAGGAAAGTCACAAACCACGCTTTGTCACTGGAGCTGCAAAATCACTTCCATGCTCTCACCTTGGACACTGATTCTGGGCCAGAGGAGCTGCTGTTACTAATTATATTATTATTATTATTATTATTATTATTATTATTTACATTTCTTCATCGAAAGATCTCAGGGCAGTTCACAGGAGTTGATGGCCTTAGAATACACCAAGGTGGCTGTGAAAGGTGCAAAGATTCACAATATGACAGAGAAGTCTTAAAAGTCTTACAAAGCCCACTGACCACTACCCCTTCCTTCTGATTCATATGGATACAAATAATACCGCCACAGACAGCCTTCAATGTATAGCATGGAATTATGAGACTCTGGGCAGGAAGCTGAAGAGCCTTGGGGCACAGGTGGTCTTTTCATTACTCCTTCCTGTGGAAGGTCGTGGCCCAGGAAGAGAGAAGAAAATACTGGAGGGAGACAACTGGCTGCGCAGGTAGTGGTGTCAGGAACGGTTTGGCTTCTTGGACCATGGTCTCCACTTCCTTGAGGAAGGACTTCTGGCAAGAGATGGGCTGCATATCACAGTTTTTGGCAAATATGTGTTTGCTAAGAGTCTCATGAATCCGATCAGCAGAGCTTTAAACTAGATCTTGAGAGGGAGGGAAACAACATTACAGATGACAGACCTGGTACTTGGGATAACAGCTTGATTGGTGCACAGGAAACTGAGGTAATGCTCCAGAAACCCACTAAAGGGCAAGAAACCACAAGAAGGAAGCAGCTGGAGGGAAGGACTCATTGCTTCAGTTGTCTCTACACAAATGCACACAGTATGGGAAACTAGCAAGACGAACTAGAGCTTTTAGTACAGGATGGCAAATGCAACCTGATAGGCATTACTGAAACCTGGTGGGATAAGATTCATGACTGGGATGTAGAAAAAGAAATAGACAAAACAGGAAGGGAGGAGTAGCATTATATGTAAAGGATGTGTACACTTGTGAAGAAATCCATGACCTGGAGCATGAAAAGCAGATGGAGAGTATATGGGTAAAAATTGTAAGAGAGAGAAACAACAGTGACCTTACTGTGGATGTCTGCTATAGACCACCAAGCCAGACTGCTTATAGAATCATAGAATCATAGAGTTGGAAGAGACCACAAGGGCCATCGAGTCCAACCCCCTGCCAAGCAGGAAACACCACCAGAGCACTCCTGACATATGGTTGTCAAGCCTCTGCTTAAAGACCTCCAAAGAAGGAGACTCCACCACACTCCTTGGCAGCAAATTCCACTGTCAAACAGCTCTTACTGTCAGGAAGTTCTTCCTAATGTTTAGGTGGAATCTTCTTTCTTGTAGTTTGGATCCATTGCTCCGTGTCCGCTTCTCTGGAGCAGCAGAAAACAACCTTTCTCCCTCCTCTATGTGACATCCTTTTATATATTTGAACATGGCTATCATATCACCCCTTAACCTCCTCTTCTCCAGGCTAAACATGCCCAGCTCCCTTAGCCGTTCCTCATAAGGCATCGTTTCCAGGCCTTTGACCATTTTGGTTGCCCTCCTCTGGACACGTTCCAGTTTGTCAGTGTCCTTCTTGAACTGTGGTGCCCAGAACTGGACACAGTACTCCAGGTGAGGTCTGACCAGAGCAGAATACAGTGGCACTATTACTTCCCTTGATCTAGATGCTATACTCCTATTGATGAGGCCCAGAATTGCATTGGTTTTTTTAGCTGCCGCGTCACACTGTTGGCTCATGTCAAGTTTGTGGTCAACCAAGACTCCTAGATCCTTTTCACATGTACTGCTCTCAAGCCAGGATTGGATGATGCCTTACTAGAGCAGATTACCAAACATTCAAAGAAGAGAGAAATAGTAATCATAGGGCACTTCAACTTCCCCGATATCTGTTAGGACTCAAACTCTGGCAAGAATGTAAGTTCTGACAAATTCCTCCATTGCCTCGCTGACAATTTCGTTTCCCAGAGGGTGGAAGAAACAACCAGGGGATCATCTATCTTGGACCTGATCCTCACCAATAGGGAGGAACTGATCAGTTATGTGGAAGTACTCAGAAACTTGGGAGGAAGTGATCATGTTCTCCTGGGTTTCATGATTCAGAGGCAAGGAAAAGCTGAGTGTAGTTGGACATGCACTCTGGACTTTAAGAAGGCCAATTTCAAAAAGCTTAAGGAGCTACTGAGTGAGATCCCATGGTCAAAATTACTCAAAGAGAAGATGGGAGTTTCTAAAAGGAGAAATACTGAAGGCCCAAATGCAGACAATTCCCACAAGAAAGAAAAGTGGAAACCAGTGTGGCTGCATAAGGAGCTTACAGATGAGCTGAGAGTTACAAAGGGCATGTATAAGAAATGGAAGAAAGGGGAAATCACAAGTTGCCAGCTGGCTAAAGCTCAGAATGAGCTCAGGATTGCAAGAGAGGTTACAAAAAAAAAAGATTTATTGGGTAATGCTTGAAGCAAGGGGAAGAACAAGCAAGTAATAGGTCCTCTATGTGGAGAAGACAGAGAAATGCTATTTGGTGACAGAGGGTGGAAATATTCAACACTTACTTTGCCTCTGTCTTCACCCAAAAGGAATCAATGCCCAACCTGGTGATAGCAGAATAAATAATGTAAGGATGAAGTTGCAGCACAAGATGAGGAAAGAGTGGTAAGGGAACACCTGGCTACTTTATATGAATTCAGATGAGCTGCATCCAAGGATACTGACAAGCTGCAACGTGTGCAGAGGAGGGTGACCAAGATGACACAAGTTCTGAAAACCAAGCCTTAGGTGGAACGACTGAGGGAGTTGGGTGGTAGTGGACTCTCCTTTCTTGGAGGTTTTTAAGCAGAGGTTGGATGATCATCTGTCATAGATGTTTCAGCTTGGATTCCTGCATTGCAGCGGGTTGGGCGAAATGACCCCTGCGGTTCATTCCAACTCAAAGATCCTATGATTCTATGAAACTAGTTTGCACTGCAGGGACGAGGGTCCTCCTACAAAGTACAGTTTAAAGTGCTTGAAAGCCCTTTGTTTTAACGGTAATATTATGAGTTGAACACATGAACCACCCTATAAATTCAGGCAGACTAGTTTTTTGCCTTGCAAAAAAGGAAACACCCTTGTTGCAAAAGATGCAGGAAGTAATCTTGAAAATGATTTTGAGAAGTGAGAATCACTTGCTTGGTCTTTGCATGCCTGTTTCTTTTCTTTAGTAAACAGGTATGAGATGTAGGGATGGGGGAAGAAATTCAATTCAGTTCTCATTTAAAGGTGAACCTGCCTAATTTGCACTTTCTGTGCCATCTGAAACACAGCCATCCTTCAAAATTCACAATTTCCCAAATTTTGCAAGGCAGTTCCCTGCAAAGTAATGCGCACAACAATGCAGATACTACAGTAAAGTGTAAATATATTAACAAAATTAACATAAGAAGTGTTATATTGGAGAAAATTGCTGTGCAAAAATGTGTCTAATAGGCAAAATTTCATACAATTGTGTATATACAAAATTATATGATATCAGAAGTTACTTTATTATTATTATTAAAATTATTATAATTCTGTTTTTTAAAAAATAAATCAAAACACTCCACCACCACCAAAAGGTATAATATTTAATTAACAGCCAAAGGCCTGATCAGAAAAAGGACTGAATGACTCTGAAAGTCCTTGTGAAAGTCCATTTCTTAATACTGCAAATTATTGAGTGTAAACTGTAAACTGCTATGGGACAAAGAATCATAGAATTGTAGAAGTGGAAGGGACCCCAAGAGTCATCTAGTCCAACCCCTGCAATTTAGGGATGTTTTGCCTAATGTGAGGCTCAAGCCCACAACTCTGAGATTGACAGTCTCATGCTCTACTGACTGAGCTATGATGGATGATAAAAAACATTCATATGGAAACACGGCCATACAGAAATATGTTCAGCAATACAGGACATACGTTTCCCCCCTATATATGATTTTTTGTGTTGAATACTCTATCTGCTTTCTCTCTCTCTCTCTCTTTCTGGGACTGAACAATGACACGTACATGGCATTCAATCACCCTAGAAGAAAGGAAATTCCTCTTAAAGGAAGTTACTTGGCAACTCCCAGATCTTGGAATGTTTGTATTAAGAAATGATTTTCTATTTACCTCTGACATCAATGTAAAGCTTACAATCTCATTTAATGACTGCTGGCCCAAATGTTTACACAGTGAATTTTTCAGCTTAGGATCACACAGAGAAGAGGGCAATTGTTTTGCATTGCTCCACAAAACATCTTGGCAGCTTAGTGCCTAACCCATTCATCTCGTGAGCGACTGCAAACATGAGCTGGAGGCATCCAAGAAAATAACCCTTGCGCATCCTGGGAAACACATAGACTATATATTGCAAATCATAGGCCAGCCTCCTGCTAAGTGATCACTCGACTGTAAAATCTATGGTAGCTTTTGGATGCAGCACACATAAAAGGATCCTGTGTGTGAATGGGTGTGCCGGTCAACACACATACACACTTTTTAAAAGTAGTTCCAACAGCTACAAACAGTCCTGTCCAACATCCTCTCAAACAAGATGCTCCTTGAGAATTCTGCCTGCTGAAAGCATCACTACATTAAATATCTCAAATTTACAAAATGCAAATTCTGTTAATTGGAACAGCTCTGTACATTTCCATAACCCATTTTGCTAGCCTACAAAAGAAAGAAGTCCCATTTTAATCAGATTTTAAAAGAAAATTACAATGGCAAACAGCATATTTATTAAGGCATTCAACCCTGCTGAAAAGCACTCTCCCTTTCAGAAACTTTGTAGGGGGAAGCAGTAAATAAGCAAAATTGTTTGCTATTCTGCGTGGGAACAGAAAACATTGCCCTCACTCTGATTTGGCCTCGGGGTACCATCATAAAGCCAAATTTGATTAGCTATGGTGTTATCATGCTGTCAAAATTATTCCCAGAAGCCCATGATCACCCATGAAGAGTGAATGTTGAAAGCCATTCCCTTGCTCTGAATTGCCTTCAAAGTCTTGTCTTGTAGCCAAATCTGATGGTCTACATGGCATAACGGTATCACCACACTGACAGCACTATTCCTGAATGGCTAGAATCAATGCCTACTGAAAAATGCATGGAAAATATAGCTTCGGGTATGTGTGGGGGGTATTTTGGGGGGGTTCTTTTCAAGTTTTGGGAACATTCAGTGCCTCTCTGATATTTATATTTATTTATTGACCCGAGTTCAAATCCCTTCTCAGCCATGCAGCTCATTGAGTAAGCTTGGGCCATTCCCTATCTGTCAGCCTACCCTACCTCACAGGGTTGTTGTAAGGGTAAAATGGAGAGGAGAACTTAGACAGGACTGTCACCCCTGTCAGATGGGAATCATTGAGCCATGACTTTGCCTAACAATATTCAGGAGTGGTGTGTGTAGCTCAGGAAAAAAAAATTACTATAGTATGAGCTGTTTTAGGAAACAAGTCCATCTGCATTTCAAGCAGCTCAAGTTTGATTTTAATATGATTTAAGTTCCAATTGAAGCCATAGTCTGAGCCAAGTAAAACTAACAAGGTACTCTGCTTTGTAGTTTGTGTATGTCTGACGTAGTCAACATCTAAAAGCTAATGCTTCCTCTCAAATAAAACAGAAAAAATGCTTACAGAATAAGAAGAAAAAAATCAGAGCTCAAAGTACTTTCATACATTTAGTAATCTTTCTCTTTTGGTCTTGCAAATATTTTAATCTCCTAAGAAGTTGATCCAGTAAAAAGATCTCATCAAACCAATTGTATTCACAATGCGATTTATTACTACCATATCTGTTTAATTACAAAATATTTGGCAGAAAAAAGCAAAACTATTAGAAATCAGATACCTCCGTAGCAAAGAAACTTCCTACTTTGAAGAATGAACTCTGCCAACAAGCAAGCTTGTGCTTTGCTGAAGTGAAGCTGAAATTTCTTAATGATTGTGTCCTCTTCCTCTCTACAATAACATCATGTCTTAAGTGTCTTCAACTGCAAATCTCACTGAGATAGACAGATTTTCATTGGCAGTGCATTCTAAGGAATAAACTGTAGCTAAAATACTGAACCATAACACAGAAAAGGATTTGAAATTTGACTTTAGCTACAACTATAATCAAGCCCTGGATGTTCACCCCCAGTTGAGCTAACAAATGCTTAAGTCCAGTGGGAAAGTCGACTTGAAAGCCATATGCCATATGCCAGGGGAAAAGGTACAGGACGAGGGAGACAGTGAGCCCTTCTAAACTTTTACTATTTTGCTGAATTTGGTGCTAAAATTGCACCCAGAAAATTCTGGTTATGCAAGTGAAGTGGATCTGGCACATCTGCACAAGAAACTCCAATTCAAGGTGCTGGATTTGGCCTATAAAGCCTTAAATGGCTCAGGACCGCAATACCTCAAGGACCATCTCTCTCGGTATGAACTGGTTAGGACCCTATGCTTATCATCTGAGACCCTTCTTTGGGTGCCTCCTCCACAAAAATCCGGAGGGCAGCAACACGAGAACAGGCCTTTTCTGTGGTGGTTCCCCTTTTTGGAATGCTCTCCCCAGGGAGGCTCACCTGGCACCTTCAATAGACATCTTTAGGTGGCAGGCAAAAATGTTCCTCTTCTCCCAGGCCTTTGGCTAATTAAACCATCTCTGGTCTTTTAGACTGTGGGGGTATTGGACTTCCGGGTTGGCGCCATCGCCGAATGGCGGACTCCCTCCGAGCTCCGGAGGGAGTCTGCTCGGCAGGGGCTGGGTCCTACCGCGCCGGCGACGCGGGGACCCTTAAAAACCACGGGCACGGAGTCCGTGGACATGGGTGACTCGGCTTGCACCATTAGCGCCCTCCCGACTCGTGAAGGAGCCTTTTTAAAGGCTTCGGATCGGGTGCCGGGGAGCGGCGTGGTGCTTTGAGTCTTCTGCTTTCCCTGCCGAGCGCAGCCGCATGCCATTCGACGGAGAGCGCTGACTTCTTCCATTGAAAATTTGGACTATTAACAACAACCCGTGAGTAATTGGGAAACCGGGTTCAAAATTTCGGATCTGGCACGAGCGGGGCGATTTAAAAGGAAGTCAATCCCCCCCCCTACTGTAAGCATTCCAAAACAAGGACTGGGTAACCAAGGTCCAAAGGGAAGTATATTCTTGATAAAAACCATTAATTTCACGATGGGAAATTATAAGAACTGTGCTGGAGGAGAAGAGTGGAGGGTGAGAAGAAAAATGCAAACCCCCCCCCGGGAACCGGGGCGATTCGTGGAGCCTGGTGAAGAGAGACGGAGACTTTGACAGCTGTCAAAGTGGCTGTCAAAGTTGGAGAATATAAAGAGGACTTTGGTATGAGGACTTTGCCGGTTAATTTTGCTACAATTTGCTACAACATGGATATAAACTGTTGGAAAATAAGCAACAATTTGACTTTTGGATTAGAGGATGCAAAGTTATTACAATCCCCCTAGAGGGGTTTTGGGATATTACAAGAACGGTCGTAAGTGGAAAAATACTCTGGGATTCGCACAGGACTTGTTATCTCTTGGGAAAGCTGCAAAACTGAAATAGTATTTTGTCTACAGAGGTATTTACATTAAAGGAGACAATAGAATTTTCTATTGAAGAAAGGAAGGGACTGGACGTAAGTTTTGTTCCTGAATAACAAACCTCTGCAGAGATATCAGATTTCTGAATTAGAAAGTTTTAGCAGCTGAACAGGACAAGAAACCTGAGAAAGTGAGGAAAAGAAGAACAAAGGACTGATTACGACACGGAAAGAACAACGGGAGGAGTGGTAAAGATAAAGGAAATTAAAGGCCTTTGTTAGATTGGACACTTGAAGTTACATATTATTAATAAATTAAAAGAAAACCGGCAAGATGGAATCGGGGAGAAATTTGGTCATGAATTGAGACTTCCAAGCTGATAATGCACAGACTGATGGATATGGGGAATTCAAACCAGGGAAGGGGGAGATTTGAAATCCAAAGGCTGTGTAACCATCTTTTGAATTTTTCTATATCTTTTATTTTTATTTTTTTACATAACTTACGCATGTCATTTTATTTTGATTGGACGTGTTTAAAAAAGGGAATTCGTGGAAGGAACTGGGGTGGATCTTGGGAAAATCTTTTTCTTTTCTTGTTAATGATGTGGGACGGTGGTAAGATTTGTACAATTCAATTTGGATAGTGGGTTAAACAAATTAAGCTTCAAATTGGGAGTGAGAGCTTGTAGAACTAAATTAAGGAAAGGGGAATACAGTCGGGGGGGGGGAGGGGGGGAGTCCCAGAAAGTAGGTAATGAAAGTAAGGTTTTTAAATATTTTTTTTTTCCTTTTTTTCTTTGTATTTTTATATTTTTGGAAACTTTAATAAATATGATTTAAAAAAAAAAAAAATAGACTGTGGGGGTATTATTTTTGTTTGTTATCATGGTATATGTTTTTGTGTTTTTATTGTCCTGTGATCTTTGAATGAAGGGCAGTATAGAAAGTTTAACAGCAGCAGCAGCAGCACAGCAGCAGCAACAACAACAAAGAAACCTGCTTCCAAAAAAGAAAGAGACTTTTTGAAGTAAGAAAAGTCCTCTGGAAAAGTGTGGCATGACAATTGATTGACCTCATATAACCTCCCTTCAAACAAATCAGAATGTATACGCAATAAAGAGCTGATATTATATATTCTCCCCACAAACTTTCCCCAAACAAACCAGGATGAATACTCAAGACACAGGTCATCTGGAAGCAACATGCACCATGCCTTTTCCTCCAGTTGCATCAATTTCAATTTCACATCTATCCCATCTTTCCTCCAAGGAGCCAACAAAAGCATCACAACAACCTTTTGGAGCAGGCTAGGTTGAAAAATAGCAACTTCTCTG